ACTGCAGAACATTTTGCTAAATCTGGATTACAGCTTGTTTTCTAAACTTAAAGCTTTGCTGAATGTGGTTTACTGATGATGAGGATTTGAGAATTTAGCTAAATATCTTCAGATTACTTTTCTAAGAGCAGAGTGGTAATCAAAAGATGTGAAGAATGTGTTAAAGGGTACTACACTGAAAAATAAACAATTTTCTTCAATTTCTTTTAGATGTATAATAGGACAAAAACTCCTGATTATGTCTTAGATTATCTTATCTTAGATTATGTCTTTTATAAGATTCCCAATGAAATTTAATTTATTTCCCTGACTTTCTTCAATGATAACATAATTTCTCTATTCACACACAATGAACTAATTTTCAAATTAAATATGAGAAACACAAAAATTCTCAATATTTATTACAAATATACAATAAAATAATTAAAAACATAACAAACATTTATCTTATTCATTGCTGCAAATCAAATAAATATTTTTGTGTTCCGTTTCATATATATATAGCATAGCTGCTGTATATATATTCATGTTTCATATATATATATGTAATGATACTTTTCAATCAATTGATTAAATTAAATTCTAATCATATTGCTTAATAATGTGTTGGCGATTCTCTACCTAAATTGCATCCCTGTTCCTAAATTTTGGCGAAATTATTTCTTTATTATAAATTATATTAACCTGTTGATGCCCACCAAACTCATAAATCTGTCATATTATATAAATTCCTAAAGAACACTCTTGATGAGAAGATAGCGTCACCTCATGATTTCATTTATTATTGCTGATTGATTATTAATTAATTATTTATCAATTATTTCAATTAATATTGCTGACTGATTTCAATTAATATCGCATGGATGAGCTCTATGATGCACACACATCTTAAATCTGTCATATTACATAAATTCCTTAAGAACACTCTTGACTAGAAGATAGCGTCACCTAGTGATTTCAATTAATATTGCTGATTGATTATTAATTAATTATTTGTTAATTATTTCAATTAATATCGCATGGATGAGCTCCATGATACACACACATCTATAAATAGGGCTTCTCCTCAAGGTACAGGAGGGAACGCTTGTGAGATGGATGCTAAAATAAACATATCACTTTGTATTCCAAAATTTATCTCATTCTTGTTGCCCCAGCTGCAAAGCACAAATAATGTATGAGATCCTACATTTCATATATAGGTGTATCTGCTAACCTTGGAATATGAAGAATCAGGAGTTTCTGGGAAGTTTTCATGCTACCTGCTGATGCCATTTCAAAAGAATTATAAATGGACTTAAATCCCCTTTATAACACATCATGATTCCCATTACTGAATTATTTACAATATTATTCTGATGTAAAATATATGAATATTTTATTAGATACTGCTATTTAGCTAATTTCATTTTGTAATTTTCTTAGTCTTTCATGTTGAAGTCATGAGTTGGAAGGTTAGACTAGGTTAAGTTATTTGAATATGACAAAGTGCACAAGGGCTATTTATCTGAGGAAGAGATGCCTTTCCTAGAGGACTTTTTGAAGGAAACTGGTCTGCATTCCCATTACACATAGGGAAAACCCCGAGAAAAACCATGCAGCCAGCCCATTCACCGGGGTTTGAACCAAGGAAAAACTACCAGCCCTCAGCAGTTCACTCATTCTTTGGCAAGGCCTTGAGTAGGAAGAAAGCTTTTATTTATTAAAATACTTTTAAATGGATGGAACTAAAATTAATGATTAATGTACATACTATTATGTGGATAAGCTTATTAACTTATCATTTATTGATGTAAAATAAAATTAAATACAAATATCAACTGAAACATTCATAAAAGTTCTATAAATGTCTACAGTCATTAAAACAATGCAAATGAAACAACATTTAATACAAAAAATTATGTTGAAATTCACTAAATGTGAGGGAACTGGATTTGCAAAATTTAAGTTACATTACTTTAATCAATTTCATTCATTGCTGGGAAATATTTCTCTGAGTAAAGACAAAAATTTAAAAGTCAGGAGTTTATGTATATAACAAGAGATGTACTGAAAAAATCCTGGCAGCTATGATACAGTAAACTTAGACATGCACCACTTAATCTTCGAGACAAGCATGTAACTACTGGCAGAATCAACCAGGTAACCTTTTGCCAATGGACTGTCATTTCAATTCAGAAAGTCATGTTTTCATAATCATGGAGATAATGCAATAAATTATAACCTTTCAAAATAAATATCAGCAAAATATTTTTTTAAATAAATATTTTTCATGCTAAGAAATATACTCGAAAAGCAAAGATTAAAGGCTACAGAAGCTTCTGATCTGATGAACTAAAAATGATGAAAGACAGGTTAAGACGAAATGCAAAATTAACTGAACTTCCAACTAATGTTCAGGCTTGGCGTAAACAAACTGAAGACTGGTCTTTCAGAGAAACAAACACCATTTAGTAACTTTATTTCTAACATAAGTTTCCAAAAGGATGAGAAAAGAACATATAAATTCCTACAAAAATTAAAAACGAAAATCCTAGAGCAGTTTAAAAAAAAATCCTTCTTAGTGAACAAAATGGCTGTTATTTCAAGTAAAACAATGGCGAATGCATCTGTGCAACATTTTACCAACAGACAACATAAATCTGATCATTGTAGAAAGCAGACAAAATTAGTTAAAGTATAAGATCTGTTCAAAATCCTTCTTCAATTGCAAAATTCCCTTCCCATTTGGTTCTTCGCTCACCATGGATTAGCTCTCTCTAAGCCATTTAAAATCTAATAAATCTCCAGGTGAAGATGTAGTTCATGGTGAAATTCTTATGAATTTAGGCACAAAAGCAACCCATACTATTCTGAAGTTTTTTAATATTATGTAGAATCCTGTCTGCATCCCTTCATGGTATATATCAATAATAATACTGATTCCCAAAAAAGAAAAGGAGCATAGTGACGTAAAGAGATACAGACCAATTTCATTCACGAGTATTTTATGTTTTATGTAGAACTATTAAAAGATAATTCAAAAAAGGTTAAATTTTTATGGTGAGAATTTTCAATTTATGGTGAACAAACAGGCTGGTTTAAGACAATACACTGAAGTGACAAAAGTCATGGGATACCTCCTAATATTTTGTCGGTCAGCCTTTTGCCCGGTGAAGTGCAGCAACTCTACGTGGCATGGACACAACAAGTCGTTGGAAGTCCCCTGCAGGAATATTGAGCCATGCTGTTCCTCTACTAGACGTCCATAATTGTGCAAAAGTGTTGACGGATGCAGGGATTTTGGGCACGAACTGACCTCTCGATTGATGTCCCATATTAATGTTTCGATGGGATTCATGTTGGGTGATCTAGGTGGCCAGATCATTCGCTGGAATTGTCCAGAATGTTCTTCTAACCAATCGCGAACAATTGTGGCCTGGTGACATGACGCATTGTCATCCATAAAAATCCCATCATTGTTTGAGTACCTGAAGTCCATGAATGGCTGTAAGTGATCTTCAAGTAGCTGAAGGTATCCATTTCCAGTCAATGATTGGTTCACTTGCACCAGAGGACAGAGTCCATGCCATGTATAAACAGCCCAGACCATTATGAAACCACCACCAGCTTGAACAGTGCCTTGTTGACAAGTTGGGTCCATGGCTTCGTGGGGTCTGCGCCACACCCGAACCCTACCATCAGCTCTTACCAACTGAAGTCGTGACTCATCTGACCAAGCCAAGGTTTTCCATTCGTTTAGGGACCAACCGATATGCTCACGAGCCCACGAGAGTCGCTGCAGGCGATGTCGTGCTGTCAGCAAAAGCACTCGAGTCGGTCTTCTGCTGGCATAGCCTAAGGAAGACAAATTTCGACGCACTGTCCTATCGGACACGTCCCTCGTACGTCGCACATTGATTTCTGCGGTTATTTGACACAGTGTTGCTTGTCTGTGAACATTGACAACTCTACGCAGACGTCGCTGGTCTTGGTCGTTAAGTGCAGGTGGTCGGCCACTGCGCTGTCCATGGTGGGATGTTATGCCTGAAATTAGATACTCTCAGCACACTCTTGACACTGTGGATCTCGGAATGTTGAATTCCCTAACGATATCCGAAATGGAATGACCCATGCGTCTAGCTCCAACTACCATTCCGCGTTCAAAGTCTGTTAATTCTCGTCGTGCGGCCATAATCACGTCAAAGCCTCTTCACATGAATAACTTGAACACAAATGAAAGCCCTGCCAAAGCACTTCGCATTTATACATTTTCTACGCGATACTACTGCCATCTGTATATTTGCATATTGCTATCCCATGACTTTTGTCACTTCAGTGTATATATCAACTGGCCAGCATGTTACATTATTTAGTCAAACAGTTAAGGATGTACTAGATAAAACATATCTTTCTGCAGTTTTCGTTGACCTAAGATCTGCTTATGACTATAAAGAAATTCTTTTCTTGAACCTTTCAAATACTGGAGTTCACTCAAACATCTTTCACTGGTTCAAGTGTTTTCTTAGCCAGAGAACTTATAGAGTTTGTTATGAAGACTGTTTGTTAAGATATAAAGGTGTTAGGTCTTAAGAATACTTTGATGCAATTTTACAAAAATGTTCTTCACTTCCTCAAAACATTTCTTCAGTTATTCAGATATTTTTAAACTGCTCTTAATAATTTCATTGTATATAATAGTCTGGAGTTCAATATATATTGATTAAAGGATTCTTGAGAAATGAGTATGCTTTTTTATGGCATACTTTTGCTATTTATGTGCAAACAAACCAAATTCAGTATAAAAATGCAAACTAAAACTCAGAAAAATACAACCTATAGTTTGCATATTTCTTCAATCAGTGCAATCCTTAGTCCCAAAGTAAAAGGATTATTAGAATTCTACTTTACAACACAACAGCAAAATTATTTATAAAGACTCACTAAATGTTTTCAGTTGCATATGTACTTATTAATTTATATACAATATTTGTTGATGAAAAAATCTTGAACATACGTACTTCTTTCTTAATAGCTTCAATAGCAGCAGGTTCTTTTTGTGCATCTAAAACTTTAGCAGCCACTGCCGATTGTGTAGTAGTATTTACAATAAGATTTACCCTACAAAGGCAGTTCAATAAAAAGTATTAAAACAACAGATAGATATGAAATTATACAAATAATTAAGAATTTAAAAGCAGCAAACAGATACAAAATTATGCACAAATTTAAATTTTAAAAAAAATGCATATAAAACTGAATTACAGTATTAAAGCAACAGAAACCGTACAGATATTTCAAAATTTAAAAATTAATGAATAGACACAAAATTACAAATACTTAAAAATTTGAAAAGTAAGAAAACAAGTATTAAATTGTATTAACATTAAGAAATTTTTTTTAAAAATGTACAGATATTTAAAAAAATATTTAAAAAAATGGCTCTACTCTTATATGTACCCTAAGATCACCAAATGTGGCGATATGTGTTCTGTGCTGGTTTTCAATTCGATTGCGTGTTGTATGGCAACCCTTTTGACGTTCAATACTCTTTTGCTGGAGTGTTTTAATTGCTCGTTGTTTTGTGCTGTGCATGTTTTGAAATGGCGTATGTTGCAATGACAGACATAGTTGCAAGAGGGTCTGGGAGATTATTTTTAGTGGCTGTGCATGATAGAAGTAAGGAAATGCTGATGCAGTGTATTAAAGAGTGGATTGAGCCTCGTACAACTATTTTTTCAGATGGCAGGAAATCTTACAAGGATTTAGGAAAAGAAGATTTTGAACATTTATTTGTGAACCCTAGTATGAATTATCTGGATAGTGTGTCTGGCTGTCATATATAAATACCATAGTGATTACGTGGCTGCATGTTAAGGCGGCAAGAAATTGGTATTTCTGCTGTTCGAAAAAGCATTCATTCATGGTAAGTGAATTTTATTTTATTCTTATTCTTATTTTGTAAAATGTTATGTTCATTGTTTTTTTAGTATGAATTTCTGTCGTTATTGTTGTTTTTTTAATTGTTTGAAATTTACTCTAGTTATTTTAGTTTATTTTGTTGATTAATGCGTAGTGCCCAGATTGTGCAATTCGTAGATGTTTCTTAAAGTTGAAACAGAACGCTGTGTACATGGTATTCTTTGAAATTTATTGTTATGTTAATTTATTAAAGCGAGGTGTGCGAAGTTCGTAGATTCTTTCACTGCCTAGATTGTGCAAACATATCGCTGTGTACATGGATTCTTTTCAAATATTTTTGGTTAGAAACTTTAAGTTTTTGCTACCTAAATTTTTGTTTTTGTTTTGGATTTTTAGCTTAAACTGTGTGCTCAAAACATGGTTTTTGCATGTGTGAAAACCGCGATTTTGGAGACATTTTAGACTTAAAGTTCGAAATGTAGACAAAAAATTTAAATAGTAATATGGCCCCATGGAGTTTCTCACAAAAAATGTTTGGAGAGAAATTTGGCGACTTGAGGGCGCAAATAAGAGTAGTTCCAAAAAAAAAAAAAAAAAAAAATATTATTTTATACATACAATACTTTTTAAAATTTAGGTATGACTGCATAACGTAAAAATTCTAGAAAACTAGAACTCACTCTCCATAGGCACCTTCTCCTAATACTTGCACAATCTCCCAACCTTCGACAAACATTCGCCCCATGCTTATCAGTATTACAAACAGAAAAACCTGCATTAAATAAAAATACCACTTTGCAGCTGATTTCATAAATATAGCATTCGCAAAGCTTTTTAAGAAGTGTGTATATATATATATGTGATGTACGCATTTATAAATATTAGATGCATTTATAAACTATATACATTTATTAACCTGCCTCATCTAATGACATATGCAGAGATTAATGGTACAATTTCATGCTAATAAGCAACATCCTACAATCTCCCTAACTGGGGTCATTAGTTATTGGCTAGAAACCTCAACTGGTACTGCCAACAAATATTAATAATTAACATAATCAATACATATGCAACTTGACGTGAAAAACATTATACAGTTTCCTGTTTAGCAATAATATGAAATTAATTAATAACTGGAAACTTTACAGAGCACATACAGTGAAAGCAAACAATGTGAACAACTTGTCCAACATTCAGGTAGCTGCTTAGCAAAAACAATATTAAATAAAGAAGCAAAGCTCTGAAGAAATAAACTTTGAATAATCAAGGCATTTACATATGTACGCAAGATAAACAAAATTTACAATTCATAATAGTATTAGACAAATTAAATAATATTGTAGTCCGAGTCTACATACAGGATAATAACATCAAAATAAATATTTACTTTTGAACTTTCTCTTGTACCTTTTATAATTTTAATAGGTTCTATTTTGGTTTTTATCATTGGAAAGTTCCCTCTCAAGACCTGTTGTTCTACTCAATGCAGGTAAATTAATTAACCAGTTATTTTCCACACCGGAACAAGTGACAACATGTATCAGCTTCAGTCATTCCAGCATTTTTAATCCTAGAATGACTGTAAAAGCTGGGAAAGTGACTGTGATTTGTATGGAGTTGATTTATTTGTTTGTTACCAAAAATCTTTTCTTTTCCACTTTTGAGATGAAATGATAGGTATATCTTCCTTTATTATCATTTACCCAGCTATTAAACCAATAAGAATTTACTTTTTTATTAATTATATCTTTCAAACTATTATAACAAGTAGAAATTCTAATATCAATTACATTTTATTTCCTCTTTAATGACAATTCATGTTAGCACTACATGCAAATGAGCCAACCAGCTTTACTTCATATCCAGTGTAAATTGATAGTTCCCTTTTTAAGTTTTTGTAAAAGTAATTGTCTAGTAAAAGTATAATCTTTATAAAATACTTTTCACTTGAAATTACCAGTAAAGCACATTGGTTATCAGAATAAATGCCTACTGCACTATTACAGGGTTCGTACACATTTCAGCACATGGAAATTAAGTAGTTTTAAGGACCATTAATGAAAAAAATTTAAACCTGTGGGATTATGGGAACTAAATAAAGTCAATTAAAAATAGTACCTATATCCGGAAACTTCAATTTTATAATACCATCCTAAAAATAAAATAGATTCATCTGTAAGTAGGATGCATTATTATTAAACACAACTTAATTAACATAATTATTAATAAGTTTGAGAATAAAATAAACTTTATGAAATTTATCAAGTAGCATTAAATATTTTACACTTATAATAGTTGGGCATATTTGAAAGAAGATAAGCGACATTTTATGTACATTTTAGCAACAGTCAGCTTTATGTTGATTTTTTTAATGCCTCACTTTGTCAGATTTTTTTAATGCCTCAGTCTAGAGGTTTAGTAAATAGCGGGTAGATTTTATGTCTAGCGGCATAGGTTAAAATGAGAAGTAAACTCATAATCAGCATGTTTCATAACAAAAGACCGGCTGTTGTCACTGCCGCTGCTTGCCTAGAGAGAGACCTGCTGATCAGAACAAACCTGAAAGGCCTGGTGTAGACTTAGTTGGCAGGTTTTAAAAGTTAGTTGGGCTCTGTCTGACACTGTTAGAGTTGGAGCTTCATGTAGAGTTTCAGAGGTTTTAACCAGCTAATGTACTTTAAGGTTCCAATAAGCCACTAAAGGTGATACATTGTTTTATATTATTTTAAGTCTCACTATATGCAAAAAATAAGTTTTACATAAATTTTTACATTTTTGTGTTTTATATTGTGACTATGGTAAGGATTGATGACAGGCAATGACTTTCTTAAATATGCAGAGATAGTTTTTATGGGTAAGCAGTCAGTTATAAGTAACTAAATTAGGTAGTTAGATAACCTTAGTCATAACGGATTTACATGACCACTATTAAATAAATTTTATTTACTTTTTAACAATATTTGTTAAAAAAGTGCTATTAAAATAACAATCTAATAAAATTTTACAGTTAAAATGCATGTAATTTATGACACATTGATTCTTAAACGATATTAGGATAATTATACATTAAAAGCTGCAAAACATTTATCTTTTGTAGCACCAACACTCAACAAAATATTTATGCAACTTTTTTTTTTTTTTTTTTAAGCTTTCCTGGACATTTTAACTATTTTACATAAATTTCCTTCTCTTTAAGCATCTTTTCTAACAATTAGAAAATTGTGTCAATACACAAATCAACGTTCTCACTAGTTTCTGCATGCTTAATGTCCTAACTTATCAACCTCTCCAATGTATCTATGAGAGTTTGCTTGATCTGATAAAGTAAAACACTCCAAAACCTCATGACAGACGTGAAGCAAATTATGGCTATGTCTGAAAGTAACTACAAAGCCAGACAAAGGTTTAAATAAGTCTCTTATTTAAAAAGGACTTAAAACATAAAGGCATGTTTTTATGCTAACAAAATCAATTACAGATCATAGTGAGCAATTAAACAGAAAGAGTCAAATTCAAACTAAAAATGTTAACTAGTGGTCAAAGACTATGCAATTTCATTTTAATTTAAGCTGGCTCAGTAACTATCGTCATAACAAATTCAAATGTCGGCAGTTATGATGCATAAATGAATAATTGCAAATTATCAGAGCTGGCAAGAACTAATTCAGCGACCATGTGGAAGTCAGAAACACACTCTGTCTTACAATCCAGAAACCTCAGTTTAAATACAATCTAACTAATTTGCATTCTGCTGAGGACACAGAAAGGAGAAGTTATAGTAAAGGCTGAAAATGTAAACAACTGGTTAATTTACATAATAATAAGTGTACATATCTCCAGAGAATAATTTTCTTTCTCTTTATGCATTCCATTTCTTTCTTCAACAAGTTTCCTTTTCATTTTAGAATTTCTGGATTTAATTAAATATTTCTGTTATTCTAAAAAAACTAAACACATTTAGAATGTATAGAAATAGCTGCTAATTTTATTTTTTTAGTAATATGAACATTCAGAAGAAGAAACATGAAATATATATAAGGGTCGGTTACAGAGCTGATGTGGCAGAATTTTTAGAATTTGGTGACACCCCAAGCAACAATATCTAGAAATGGTAAAACTTTTAGAATTTAGACCAGGCATTACAAGCACAATTTAGAAAGGCACTAGGCAGCAGAATTTAGGATCCAGAGAAATTGCATTAGGTGGGAAAATGCCTAGCACTTGCCCTGTGGATGATGCATTAACACATATTAGATAATCCTTTAAACTGTCACTTTTCAATTTCTTTATTGAAAAAAAAAAAAAAAAAAAATCCTTTCTATAATTTATTTCTGTAATGCCTGTCCAAGTGATAAGATTACAAGCATTTTTGATATTTTCCATGCTTGTGTCTTGTGAAAAGTAGAGAAAATAAAGGGAAGATAAACATGTTAAGATAAAGATTCTATTATCAGGAGTAAAACATTCAAATATTATGTTTCATTGTTCTTCCAGATGTTCTCCAAAAAAAAAAAAAAAAATAAGAAATTCATCACAAACTTTCTGTAAAATACATCCATTATGTGTCACTTGAGTATCCCACCATTTATATTAGAAACAGGAACAAATTATAACCCATGAACCCATTCAAAAAATAACTATATTTGTCAGTAAATAGCCAAAAATATTTCTCCAAAATGCTAATTTACACTCAAAATAGCAGTCATAAAAACAGACAGAAATTTCAGAGACATTTTTCATTTTGTCACATTTTTCTGGAATCTTCTAGAATTGTGGGCTCACCTTCGAAATTTTCCACATGAAATGTCTAAAATTATAAGAAAAATTACCCCTACTTATTCTGCAACAGTAAAAAGACACAAATATTTGGAGAAAAAAAAAAGGGGGGGAAAGTGTAAAATTAATTTTATAAAGAAAACTAATGCATATTCTGAGACAATTAGATGGTAAAAACTTAGCATGAAAAAAAAATTAAAAAGACATTTTTAATTAATTACACAGCTATTTTGCTTAAACTAAGTAGATTTTACCTTGTTTATTTTTCAGATTCAAAATACAGTCAAAAGTCGTTAATCCGGACTCGTCGGGACTTCGGCAATTCCGGATTATAGATCATCAGTTCAAATCTGGTAAGATGGCATGCAGAAATTATAAAATTAAAAATATGAAACCGTAATTTATGAAATAAAGAACAATTATTATCTAAAGGGTATCAAAATTTAGAAAAAAAAAGCTTAATATTTATTTGTTTACTTTATTAAACATTTCTTTTAATGTAAGTTGTTTAAGTTGCTTCGTTTTATGTGATAATACTTTCTCTTTAATTCTATAAACAGACATAATTTCTTGTTCAGTTACAAAGCTCTGCTGTTCAAGTCCTATAATTGCTGTGTCGAGAATACCGAGTAATTTGTCAATCGAAATTTTTTCATTTTCAATAACCTCTGTGTCACTTTTTTCACTATCGGAAGCGAATTATAATGACGAGGAATTTGATTTAAATCATATCAAAGACGGAGTACATCGAGATGAAATACTACATTTAGTAAGGAATTATAAGCCAAATAAAATAAAAACATCTGTCCTGAAGATAAGGATAGTGCTGACAGATCAACTTCCAATTCATTGCACGACGCTGCGTTTCCCCCCTTCACAGCTGTAGAGCAGCGTGAAATTGATAAACAGATTTCGGAATGGTTAGAGAAACAAATAACCTCTGTCACTTTCTTCATGCCTTTATACATTTTTTGCAACAATTCCACTTTTTGTTTAATGGACTTCGAAACATACTTTCGCTTTGTAGATCCTTTACATATTAGTAAATATATATCGGAAATTCTATTTGACATAATCGAAAGTTCAAGCTTACTTTTATAAAATTGCTCTAACAGTCAGCAAAAAATAATAAGCCGGATCCAATTCGAAGATTAAGGAAGAACGCAATCTGCAACATTAACTGAATTAGATAATTTTAGCTTAGCGTATACCGTCCGTTATACATCAAACGCGCATGCGTAAACATATTTTACGCATGGGCACATGCATATTCGCAGCCGTAAAGGTCTTACGCACATGCGTCAATGCGCCGCATGCGCAGAAAGTTTGTAGCTTTGAGTTCCGGATTATGGGTGTCCGAATTAACGACTTTTGACTGTATTGTATAATAAGTGGTCAAAATGGAACTTTATAATATGACAGAGAAAAATACAAATGCTTTATTTTAATGTTTATTTTTTAAATATAATTTCAATATATTACCATAATTTTAATGAAATTTATCAATGTTTTAAAAAAATCGTCGAAAAACTCCCAGATCTATGAATTAAAAGTTTTCTATAGAAACTGATCTTAAAATTGCCAAAAGGTTGATAAGTTGCAAAATTTAGAGCCGTTTAATGAAAGAATTCACATCCTCAAAAGCGAAAAGTTGTTTAAGAAAGAAAAGAAAAAATTATAAATTAAATAATTTTGAAATGCTTACGTTTCACTTCCTGCTCAGAAAATTGAGTATCCCACCATTTATATTAGAAATAGGAATAAATTATAGCCTATGAAACCATTCAAAAGATAACCATATTTTTTTTAGTGAATCGCCAAAAATATTTCTCCAAAATACTAATTCACACTCAAAATGGCAGTTGTAAAAGCAGACGGAAATTTCAGATGATTAAAATTAAGGACCTTCTGCAGATTTTGGCCAAAATTAAGGATTTAATTATCGATCAAAAATCGATTCCTATAAACCTAAGGACTTTTAACGATTCTTAAGGCTGTACAAACCCTGTATTGTAATCATTAGTACTAAGCCATTCTAATGTCATATACAGTGCAATAACCTCGACCTGAAATACAGGTCCATTATCACTAATCCTATTGAGTCATGTAATATATAAATTAGTACCTGATAATCCACAAAAAGAACCCACAATATGATTTAGTTTGGATCTACCAGTGAAAAGAGTAAAATCAGTCATATTGAAAATTTTCTTATGTGAGTTAGATGTTTACCACCCTGAACATAAAGAATTACATCTTATAATGCAGCCAAAGCTTTTAATACTATCCTTGTCATTCTTTAACTCTTTGAAATCCAGACCCTTCACTAAACTGTATCCTCAAAATACCGAACCGCACAAAATACTTTTCTAGTTTCCCAGATATTTCCTCTCCTCCCCGTCCATTAACGCAGAAAATAGGTGTGACGATTTCGAATGACGTCCTTTGTGCTTTCTAACAAAGATTCCATTAGCCTTTGACCCCGTTCTTTATAAAACTATTCTGAAAGGCAGACCAACAAGCTTTTCTGGCTTTGTTATGATCACGACTTAGATTTTGCTTATTTCCATTATTTTTATAGGAAGGAATAAATTGATTAAAAATAAATAAATCCTTAAATTTTTAACTGCAGTTATGCTGTTTAAGCTTAAAAGCACCTGTACCACAAAAGAATCAACAACGAAATGTCATGAGCAAGCAAAAGATAAGAAACCTCTTAGGACATACTGTCTGCAGTATACTGATACAATGCATTTGGAGAAACTGCACCTGCTACTGCATACCTTACAGGGAGGGAAGAAAACAAGATTACAATCTCGGCCGTTTTCGGGCGGTTCTGGTTGTTTCAATGTAGGGCCGTGTCGGGCGGATTGGTTGTGAAAGATTTAAATCAAGAAGTCTTTTCATTAGAAGCAATATGGTTAATGCGTTCACAGCCATTTAGGACTTGCAGAGCAGAAGTATGAGTTCAAAAACATCACGTAATGCCAAGTAAGGCAATGCTTTAAATTTAAATCAAAAGATTATTTATGTGCATCTTTTCTTTATACCACAATACATTTTTTACACAATTTTACAAAATTTCTTCTCTTGTAAAACATTCTTCTAACATTATAAAAGATGACTTTTACAGATGCTCTTAACAGCATAAAGCTCATTCATTACACAAGAACATTGATTTTAAATATACAGTAAACCCTTGCCAAACGTGGATTTGCAGAGCACGATATTCTTTATAAGCATTATTTTAACTGTTTCCATTTAATTTGTCCAACGCTAAAATTTCACTTATATGTGGCTCGGCATTCCTTAATCAACACTAAATGTTTGCTCCCATTAGTTGTGGATATTTTCATTTATAAATAATTTCAAAAGATTTTCATCAATTGAAAATTAAACTGAAGTAATCATACTAATTACAAAACTGGTGGCAAAGGATTTTCAGATATGGAAGGAGAGAATGAATTAATGGCTGATTTTTGGAATATGGTAACAGGTAGGACATTTTGGAGGCGATAAAGGTTACTACCTAGGACTTTGGGAATAATGTGAGAAGTACTCAGTTCCGATTACACATTATTTTGTGCGAGGGAAATGAGAGATCATGAGTTATGTCATGTGACATTAATGGACGAATCACTGTTCTTTAATCGGAAACTGGACTTTATAGCAGTAGTTTCATTCTATGTTCTGTGAAACAGTGTTGTTTAATATTTGGATCCCATGGCCGTATATAAAGTAAATCCGAAATTTTTATTATGTTTATGTGTAATTGAAAAGAATTGCTTAATTGCGGATAAGTATGAATGTCCAACATGTGGGTATGAAATGAGATTGTGTGAAAGGAAGGATATTACAGATAAGTTTCAATGGCGGTGCAAGAAATCTGGTGAAAATGGAACTTTTTGTGATCCGCCATGCACTCAAGATTCTGTAGAAGATTAGGTAAGTAGTATTTTTAATTATTTGGGATATTATTTTTATGCATTGTTCTAAATGTAAGGAGTAAATAAATTAATATGGTATTATTGGAAATTGTTATTAGCAATGATTTAGTTTAAAGTAATTAGGATTGTAAGCTAATTTTTATTAATTTAATGTATGTGCTTATTTATATTTTAAGTAGTGTTTTTTAATTTAATTATATTTTAATTTAATGATCGTGATTTTGAGAGTATATGTTGTAGTATTTTGGAATACGTTTGAGAGAAGTAAATGTGCATGGAAAGAATTTAAGTATTTGCCACTGAGTATTTGGAACCATTTTTATGTTTGCATTAGAAATTGGAATCGTACTTTTTCACGATCAGTTGACGTAGCACTCATGCATTTTCGTGAAATTTTTCTATTTATGAGAAAAAGCAGTGTACATGGATATAGTGGAGAGTGTGCACAATGCCATTTTGTGCAATTCTGGGATTTTTTTTAAGTAAAATAATAGACGTGTACATGGTAGTGATATTTTATTAAATGATAGTTATTTGTGAATTTTATGTTTGTAGGAATTTGGTATACGTTTAGTTGAAGTAAACGTGCATGGAAATAATTTAAATATTGACACTAAGTATTTGTAACCATTTGTAATGTTTGCGGTATGAATTCGTTGGTGACGTTTATAATATATATAGATAATTTAGAGGTAAAAGTTTTTGGATATTTTATTTATTTATATGTGGAAATGTTCATCTTGGAAAGGGTAATACTTTTTCGCGATCAGGTAATTTCATATATGTCTTTTTACCGGGTTTAAAGATTGAGAAGAAATTTTTTTGCATTTTCGTGCAAATTTTGTAATTTATGAGAAAAATAGCAGTGTAGATGGATAAAGTAAGAGTGTGTGCAATGCCATTTTTGTGCAATTCTGGGATGTTTTTTTAAGTAAAAAATAAGTCGGACGTGTACATGGTTTATGTGTATGTGCGTTTTTGAAAAAACGCGGCAAGGAGTTGCGATTGTTGCATTTTCCCAATTTTGCAGTTAATATTTGTCATGATTAAGCAGTTTTGTTCTAGCATAAGTGTAATTCAGCTAGTAGATTGTAGGAAAAAGTGTTGAGTAAATAAAAAGAAAAGAAACATGTCTTTACTTCGTGAAGACAAAATG